GCAAGTATATAGTAATATTTTATGCCAAGTATAATTAGATCTTAAAGCTTAAAGCTGTACATTCTTCAGGGATGAGGCCACAGAAAGATCCCTCCCCCGTAATATCTAGTATATCAAAATACAGGTAGTCTTTCACTTACAATCATAATTAAGCACAAAATTTGTTGCTAAGCGGGACGTTTGTTGAATGGGTTTCGTCCCATTTTAGGACCTTTCTCGCCACAATTGTTAAGTTGGATCGCTGCCGTTATTAAATGTATTAAACATTAATAAACATGGCTGTTAAGGGAAACTGGCTTCCCCCGTTGACTTTGCTTGTCAGGTCGCAAAAGGGGATCGTGTGACCCTGGAATATTGCAACTGTCATAAATATGAGTCAATTGGCAAGAACCAGACCAGACCACACATCTGCTCCAAGAACCATAACGGACCATACATCTGGCCCAAGAACCAGAATGGACCACACATCTGCTCCAAGAACCAGGCCAGACCATACATCTGCTCCAAGAACCAAATCAGACCATACATCTGCTCCAAGAACCAGACCAGACCATACATCTGGCCCAAGAACCGGAACGGACCATACATCTGCTCCAAGAACCAGAACGGACCACACATCTTCTCCAAGAACCAAATCAGACCATACATCTGCTCCAAGAACCAAATCAGACCATACATCTGGCCCAAGAACCAGAATGGACCACACATCTGCTCCAAGAACCAGACCAGACCATACATCTGGCCCAAGAACCAAATCAGACCATACATCTGGCCCAAGAACCAGAATGGACCACACATCTGCTCCAAGAACCAGGCCAGACCATACATCTGGCCCAAGAACCAGACCAGACCATACATCTGGCCCAAGAACCAGACCAGACCATACATCTGGCCCAAGAACCAAATCAGACCATACACCTGGCCCAAGAACCAGACCAATCCAAGACCAATCCAATACATCCAATCCAAGAACCAGACCAGACCATACATCTGGCCCAAGAACCAGACCAGACCATACATCTGGCCCAAGAACCAGACCAGACCATACATCTGGCCCAAGAACCAAATCAGACCATACATCTGGCCCAAGAACCAGACCAATCCAAGACCAATCCAATACATCCAATCCAAGAACCAGACCAGACCATACATCTGGCCAAGAACCAGACCAGACCATACATCTGCTCCAAGAACCATAATGGACCATACATCTGATCCAAGAACCTGACCAGACCATACATCTGGCCCAAGAACCAGACCAGACCATACATCTGGCCCAAGAACCAGACCAATCCAAGACCAATCCAATACATCCAATCCAAGAACCAGACCAGACCATACATCTGGTACAAGAACCAGAACGGACCATACATCTGCTCCAAGAACCATAATGGACCATACATCCAATCCAAGAACCTGACCAGACCATACATCTGGCCCAAGAACCAAGTCAGACCATACGTCCGATCCAAGAACCAGGCCAGACCAGTACACCTGATCCAAGGACATCCAGCATATTTTATGGCCAAATGGGAATTTGGAACTCAAATCAGTCCGGCTCTAACCCAGCCTGTTAATTCTTAAAATCACCACGTTCATCTCTCATCAAGATGACGGACATCAATCTCAGCGCCCCCACTCTGGGGCTCTACTGCGTGTGCAAATTCTCGCCCCAAAACCTAATTCTGTAGCAACTTCACTCCTTGAGCAAAAAAAAGAGAGAGAGGAACAAAATAATAGAGGAATTTGCATTTTTGATGTGGAGAAGCTCTTGTTTTTCTTTCAGATAAGGTAGTTATTTTACACATATGGTTAATTGCCTCAGTAGCCATCATCGCTTTGGGGGTCAGTGTGTGTGCCCCTAGGGAGAGGAGGGGGGCTCGTGCATGCTTGTGGGATGAATTACATCTTTATGAGATTTGGCTGGAGTTCAAGGACACAACTTTTTAAGGTATTTTGGTGGTTCTGCTACACTGGGAATCCCTCAAAGGGATTTGCTCTGGAATGCGTCGGTGCGATCCTATTACAAATATCTCCTAAGTAGTGTTGAAGACGGAGAGAGAGAGAAACAGAGAGAAAGAGAGAGAGGAATCCCAGGCCTCAGCTATGGCTGGTAGATGCATCTGGCCTTTTCTGGATTTGTTATGGCTTTTCACGCAGGGAAATTAAAAAAAAGATAATAAAATAAATCTGCCTTCAGAGGTTGTGAATGCTCCAACACTGGAAGTTTTTAAGAAGAGGTTGGATAACCATTTGTCTGAAGTGGTGCAGGGTTTCCTGCCTCAGCAGGGGGTTGGACTAGAAGACCTCCAAGGTCCCTGCCAACGCTGTTATTCTCTTCTAATTCTAATTCTAATTCTATTCTATTCTATATCTTTATTCTATTCTATTCTATTCTCTTCTCTTCTATATCTTTATTCTCTTCTATTTCTCTATTCTATTCTATTCTATTATCTTTATTCTATTCTATTCTATTTCTTTATTCTATTCTATTCTATTCTATTCTGTTCTATTCTATTTCTTTATTCTATTCTATTCTATTCTATTCTAATCTTCTATTCTATTCTATATCTTTATTCTATTCTATTCTATTCTGTTCTATTTCTTTATTCTATTCTATTCTATTCTATTCTAATCTTCTATTCTATTCTATTTCTTTATTCTATTCTATTCTATTCTATTCTATTTCTTTATTCTATTCTATTCTAATCTTCTATTCTATTCTATATCTTTATTCTATTCTATTCTATTCTATTTCTTTATTCTATTCTATATTTCTTTATTCTATTCTTTTCTTTCTATTCTAATCTTCTATTCTATTCTATATCTTTATTCTATTCTATTCTATTCTATTCTATTCTAATCTTCTATTCTATTCTATATCTTTATTCTATTCTATTCTATTCTATTCTATTCTATTTCTTTATTCTATTCTATTCTATTCTGTTCTATTCTATTTCTTTATTCTATTCTACTCTACTCTACTCTACTCTACTCTACTCTACTCTACTCTACTCTACTCTACTCTAATTCTAATTCTAATTCTAATTCTAATTCTAATTCTAATTCTAATTCTAATTCTAATTCTTATTCTATTCCTTCTACTTCAGCACGGCAGAACACTTCAGCAAGCCGTACCCAACCTCTGGCTTATTATAGGTGGCCCTTGACTTACAACAGCCCGTTTGGTAACTGTTCAAAGTTACAACAACACTGAAAAAAAGTGACTTGGGACCATTTGTCACACTTACAACCTTTGTGGCATCTCCGTCTACCTTCAAAGGCTTGGCAACTGACTCACACTTATGACCATTGCTGTGTCCCAAGGTCACGTAATCGCCTTTTGCCACCTGCTGACAAGCCAACTCAACGGGGAAGCCAGATTCATTTCACAACCGTGTGACTAAATTATCAACTGCAGTGATTCACTTAGCAGCCGTGGCAAGAAAGGTTGTAAAACGGGGACAAGCTCACTTAACAAATGTCTCACTTAACAACAGAAATTTTGGGCTCAATTGTGGTTGTAAGTCGAGGACTACCTGTATTTGCAAGCTTCTTTGCATATTTAGCAACTCTATTTTTCGAAACACGAGGGAAGTTACCCAAAGAGCAAAGGAGGATGGCACAGGAGAGCTTGCTAAAGCCTCAGAACAAGGCTTAAAACCAGTCACCAAAGGAATCGGTTAAAATGAGTCAAAATTCAAACAAAATGACCCAAAAGGAATTTTAAACAAGTCACTGTAGCAAATTTCAGGTTTATAACACAGTCTGCAAAACGTATCAACCTACTAGATACAAATGACCAATATTGTTGTTTGTTGAATGTGGTTGGCAAAATATTTTGGTTGCATTAAACTTTGCAAATCTTTTTAGATCTATTTTTGCTATTAGGATCTGAATCTACATGGCTGGGGGGGGAGGGAGGGAGGAAGGAAGGGAGACAGGAAAAAGAAAAGGGAAAAGGGAGAGAAGGAAGGAATGAAGGGAAAAGGAAGGGAGGGAGGAAAAAGAAACGGGGAAAGGGAGAGAAGGAAGAAAGGAGAGAAAGGGGAAAAGAGAGAAAGGAAGGAGAAAACGGACAGAAAGGAAGGAAGGAGAAAAGGGGGGAAAGGAAGAAAATAAGGGAGGGAGGGAGGAAGGAAAGGAAAAGAAGGGAAAAGTGAGGGAGGGAGGGAGGAAAAAGAAAGGGGAAAAGGGAGAGAAGGAAGGAAGGAAAGAAAGAAAGAAAGAAGGGAAAAGGAAGGAAGGGGGAAAGAAAGGGGGAAAGGGAGAGAAGGAAGAGAAGGAAAGGAAAAGAAGGGAAAAGGAAGGGAGGGAGGGGGGAAAAAGAAAGGGAGAAAGGGGGAGAAAGGGAAAAGAAAGGGAGGGAGAAAGGGGGAAAGGGAGAGAAGGGAGAGAGGGAAGGAAGGGGAGAGAAAGAGGAAAAGAGAGAAAGGAAGTAAATAAGTAAGGGAGGAAGGAGAAAGAGGGAGAGAAGGAAGAAAAATAGTAAATAAGTAAGGGAGGAAGGAGAAAGAGGGAGAGAAGGAAGAAAGTAAGTAAATAAGTAAGGGAGGAAGGAGAAAGAGGGAGAGAAGGAAGAAAATAAGTAAATAAGTAAGTAAGGAAGGAAGGAAGGAAGGAGAAAGAGGGAGAGAAGGAAGAAAAAAAATAAATAAGGGAGGAAGGAAGGAAGGAAGGTAGGACAATGAGGCCGAGGACAGAAGAAGGCAGAGAAAAGAGGGAGGGAGGGAGGAATGCTCACGCAAAGCTACTCCATCTCCAAACCTCCTAATTTGTGGGAAAGGGGCTCTGAAATGGCTGAATAGCAGAAAATGCATCTTTGGGGGGGAAAAGATTAAAAATTACTGCATTATTCCTCCCCCTCCCCTCGTTGGAGTCCTTATGCCCAGGTCCTTAAATGTTCAGTGAAATGCTGCTGCAAATGCACCCCCCCCTTATTCACCCCCCCCCGGTATAAAAAAGCCCCCCCCCCCCCCCCCCCCCCAAAGCACCCCAACCTGAGATTCTCCCTCTGTCCTGCCTTGCAAACTGGAAGCAAACAAGCATGGGCGAATCGATTCTCCGGCACTCCTCCAGCGATGTCTCGCCCAGCTGCAGAGGATTGTACGGTTAACCAACGGCCAGGATGGCTTGCCGAGCGCCGAGCCGATGATGTGCCGGAGCTGCAACTCACGTCACGTGGTAGCGGCGGATGCCTGGCGCTTCGTGTTTTTTTCTTTCCCCCTTCTACGACGCATGCGCTAACCGCACGGGCTTCTTGAACTTCTCCAACCTGGCGCCCTGCGATATGGAGCTGGGCTACTACTACATTTCCCATCGTCCCCACCCCTGGGCCTAGGTGGGGATGAGTAAATCAACCCTTGTAATTAAATGCATAGGGTTGATGCATAGTATCCTCAGGAGTATGGGGCTTGTGATTTAAAGCAGTGGAAGATTGATGGGATTTGTAGTCCAGGATTCCCCCAGCCGGCTGCAGAGCGTTGCATGTGCTGAACTGACATGCAAGCTGAGAACTGGGGATTGCAATACCCATCAGGCTTAAGGAGTTTGGAGTTTGGGTTGCTTTGCATCCAGATGTTCCTGGGTTCAGCCCGCAACATGGTTAACCCGCTCCTCTCCAAAATATGCTGAGCCACAATCTCCCATCATCCCCAGCCAATATGTGGCAGCTCCTGCTGGTTTCTGAAAAGAAGCCACAGCTGGAAAACTTGATTCAAACTCCTCCAGCTCCTACAAGTGATTTTTTTTCCTGAATAAATAATAATATTCAGAGCACCGGTTCATGACACCCCAAAACCAGGGGTGAAATCCAGCAGGTTCTGACAGGTTCTGGAGAACCGGTAGCGGAAATTTTGAGCAGTTCGGAGAACCGGCAAATACCACCTCTGGCTGGCCCCAGAGTGGGGAGGGAATGGGGATTTTGCAGTATCCTTCCCCCAGCAGTGGAGAAGGAATGGAGATTTTGCAGTATCCTTCCTCTGGAGTGGGGAGGAAATGGAAATTTTGCAATATCCTTCCCCCAGGAGTGGGGAGGGAATGGGGATTTTGCAGTATCCTTCCCCCTGGAGTGGGGAGGGAATCGATATTTTGCAGTATACTTCCCCCAGGAGTGGGGAGGGAATGGGGATTTTGCAGTATCCTTCCCCCAGGAGTGGGGAGGGAATGGATTTTTTGCGGCATCCTTCCCCTGGAGTGGGGAGCGAATGGAGATTTTGCAGTATCCTTCCCCTGCCATGCCCACACCATACCCACCAAGCCACACCCACAGAACTGGTAGTAAAAAAATTTGGATTTCACCACTGCCCAAAACGCACTCCTTTGTTGCAAATAATTTCATATTTCTGCTTTCATTCATGCAATTGATCATCAGTTTATTTGTCTTGGTTGTTTGCAAGACCAAAACTAAACAATTGACTAAATAATTTAGTAAATTATTTGCAACCAAGTTACATTTTTATTTTTTATAGTTGCTGCTAGGATTTTCAGTATATTCCTAGTCATTCCCCCCCCACCAAATAAATTAATGTTACAGTTAGTTCTCGACTTACAACCATTTAGTGACCGTTCAAAGTAACAACAGCCCTGGAAAAAGTGACTCAATGACCATTTTCCACACTTAACGACGGTTGCAGCATCCCTGTGGTAACGTGATCAAATTCAGATGCTTGGCAACTGATTCATATTTATGACGGTTGGTGTGTTGTGTGTCTTGCCTTTTGCATTCTTGACAAGCAAAATCAATGGGGAAATCAGATTCATTTCACAGCCCTGTTACTAAATTAAAACCGCAGCAATTCACTTAACAACGGTGGCAAGGAAGGTTGTAAAATGGGGCAAAACTCACTTAATGGTCTCGCTTAGCAACCTATACTTCGGGTTCAGTTGTGGCTGTAAGTTAAAGACTACCTGAATTAAGAATCGTGGCTAAAGACGCCTCTGAGGCCTTGTGGGCAGTTGGAAGAATCCATAAAATCTATAAAAGACACAGTTTTGCAGGCAAAGGGTTGTTTTACAGAATCTGGACATGCTACTCACTTCAGATTAACCGAGTTGGAAGGGACCTTATAGGACATCTAGTCCACCCCACACACCCGTTCAAGCAGGAGACCCTACACCAGGGGTGAAATCCAATTTTTTCCCCTACCAGTTCTGTGGGCGTGGCTTGGTGGGCATGGCAGGGGAAGGATATTGCAAAATCTCCATTCCCACCCCACTCCAGGGGAAGGATACTGCAAAATCTCCATTCCCTCCCCTTCTGGAGGAAGGATATTGCAAAATCTCCATTCCCACCCCACTCTGGGGCCAGCCAAAGGTGGTATTTGCCGGTTCTCTGAACTACTCAAAATTTCTGCTACTGGTTCTCCAGAACCTGTCAAAACCTGCTGGATTTCACCCCTGCCCTACACAATTTCTGACAAATGGCAGGCCAATCTTTTCTTGAAAATCTCAAGGGATGAAGCTCCCACAACTTCTGAAGGCAACTTCTGTTCTTTCGGAAAGTTCCTCCTCATTTCTAGGTTGAATCTCTCCTTGGTCAGTTTCCATCCATTATTCCTTGTCTGGTCTTCGGGTGCTTTGGAGAATAGGTTGACCCCCTTCCTCCTCTCTGTGGCAGCCCCTCAAATATTGGAAGATGCTATCCTGTCTCCCCTGGTCCTTCTCTTCACTAGACTAGCCATGCCCGGTTCCTGCAACCGTTCTTCATATGTTTTAGTCTCCAGTCCCCTCATCATCCTGGTTGCTCTTCTCTGCACTTTTTCTAGAGTCTCAACATCTTTTAAATAACTTCATTGTTGGTTTGTTTTTTTTCCCCTGCCACCCTGATCCCTTTTTTTTTTTAAAAAAATCATTTTTTGCAACTTCTTCTCTCATCTACTGCCCAACTCCAAAACAGTCAATCTGTCACGGACAAAGAGATTGTCAGCAAAATCCTCCCGACTGGCTGCAAAATAAATCTTCTTTATCGGGGAACGGAGTAAAGCTTTTAGTCCGAAAAGCACACTGTATCCTTTTCATAATTTTAATCATGGAAGGGGTCTTCTCTTCGCCTATTGCTCTGGTGGCCCGTGAAGACTTTCAAAAGATTTGGGGTTAGGTTTCTGGATTAGCTGAAACTGGAGTGCCTTAAACCTCTTTAGAGAGTGAGGATTAAATCTACATCAAGCCTAAAACGGCTTCGCTCAGGCCCACTCCCCAGGTAAAGCTAAATTAAACAGCGAGCATATTTGTGTGGTTTTGTAATGGCACAAGTATTCAACAACCCTATCAGAAGCACTGGAGGAAGGAGCATGCAGGAGGGGGAAGTTTTTGAAACGTGAGCGCTGGTTAAGAAGGAACTCACCGTTTGCAAAACATAGGACGCTTTTCAGCGGTGATTGTTGCTCTAAAACAGGACATCAGAGTTGGAAGGGATCTTGGAGGCCTTCTAGTCCAACCCCCTGCTCAGGCAGGAAATCCTATACCATTTCAGACAAATGGTTGTACAATTTCTTCTTAAAAGCGTTAATACCACTTTATAAGGCCTTGGTAAGGCCACACTTGGAATATTGCATTCAGTTTTGGTCGCCACGATGTGAAAAAAGATGTGGAGACTCTAGAAAGAGTGCAGAGAAGAGCAACAAAGAGGATTAAGGGACTGGAGGCTAAAACATATGAAGAACGGTTACAGGAACTGGGTATGTCTAGTTTAATGACGAGAAGGACTAGGGGAGACAGGATAGCAGTGTTCCAATATCTCAGGGGTTGCCACAAAGAAGAGGGAGTCAAGCTATTCTCCAAAGCTCCTGAGGGCAGGAGAAGAAGCAAAGGAGGGAAACTAATCAAGGAGAGAAGCAATTTAGAACTAAGGAGGAATTTCCTGACAGTTAGAACAATTAATCAGTGGAACAACTTGCCTCCAGAAGTTGTGAATGCTCCAACACTGGAAATTTTTAAGAAGATGTTGGATAACCATTTGTCTGAAGTGGTGTAGGGTTTCCTGCCTGGGCAGGGGGCTGGACTAGAAGACCTCCAAGGTCCCTTCCAACTCTGTTATTCTATTCTATTCTATTCTATTCTATTCTATTCTATTCTATTCTATTCTATTCTATTCTATTCTATTCTACTCTACTCTACTCTACTCTACTCTACTCTATTCTTAAAAACTTCCAGTGTTGGAGCATCCACAACTTCTGGAGGGAAGCCGTTCCTTAGTTCTAGGTTGGTTCTCTCCTTGATTAGTTTCCATTCGTTGCTCCTTTGTCCTGCCTTCTGGTGCTTTAGAAAATAGGCCGACCTATTTTCCAACGTCTTCAGCCAACACCGAAAAATGTTAGCTCACAGGTGGAGGAATGTGATGGTCAGTTTCACAAGCCAGCCACCGGCAAAGCCGTGGAATTGCCCCCAATCCGTTATCGGAACTCCCTGCCATACCGAAATTGTGGGCTGTTTAGCGGAATAACCTACAGTTGACATGGGGCAGGAAGTATGAAATCACGGATCTTCAAATCACACTGGGTACATTCACACAAGAGATTTGTTCAACCAAAATTAACGTCTGTATGATTTAAGGCAACGTTTTTCAAACTTGGCCATTTCAAGATGGGTTGACTGTGTATTGCGTGTGCACATACACAGTACACACCAAAAGGAGGCTGGGGAAGGTGAGTAGAACTGGGGGGGGGGGGGGGGGGGAATCAGCTGTGCCGCACAATTTAGCTTCGTTAGAAAGCAGGATTTTCTGCTTTCTACCAAAGCTAAACCGCGTGGAACAGCTGATCATTGGAAATACTGGTTAGGAGGAACCAGTAGCTTTTTTAAACTACCGGTTTGCTCTAACCGGAGCGAACCGGTAGCATTTCACCTCTGCTACAGTCCCCCAGCAGGCTTTAAGATAGGTAGACTTCCACTCCCAGAATTCCTTGGCATGTGAACTTCACCTAGCTTTAAAATTGCCAGGTTTGAAAAACATCTCTTTCTCTCTTCCTCTCTCTCTGTATGTATGTATGTATGTATGTATGTATGTATGTATGTATGTATGTATGTATGTATATATGTACCGGTATATATGTATATATAATCTCTCTATGTATGATC